ATCCAGTGTTCAAGTGTCACCACTATAAACTCTCCCAGAGCACTGGAGCATGGTGCTGCTGATGCAAAGTGGCTCTCTATGGAAATGCTCTGACTAAACGTTGAGTAAAATGTGGAAATATTTAGTATACATAATTTTTTCAGACACATGGGACGCTCTCTCATATTAACTGTTTGTGTTTTTTACAACAAGAGACTTATTTTACTGAGATTGTTGATGTTCAAGTCACCTACCAGACATTTGTAACAACTCTCTGAGTAGATAATCAGTTCCTTGAATGCACTGAAATAGTAATAAAAACAGAATCAGTGATCCCAAAAGTATTCTATCATTATTGCTCAAATCTTCAACACAGAGGTCAATGTTGTGCTCAGCCCAACATTGGTGTGTAGTGGTTTCTGCATCAGTCTTGACCATGGAAAATTGCATTGTGATATGGCGTTAATTGTCTGCAACGTATAATCATGCAATAGCTCTAAGATGTATTCAACAGATTTCAGTGTTTCTGTTTTTATTTTTTCTGATGAGAAAAAACTTTGAAGGGCTTGCCTTTATGCTGATGATACAACTTTGTACTTTAAGATTTCTCATGACTTGAAGTTTTGCTAAAATCACAAACAGTCTGCACTTAATCAAGGTAACATTTGAATAATAAACTCTTAGATTTATTTTATTTTGTAGCACATATTCAAAGATCATTAATTCAAACATTTCATATATTGTTTATTATCCACAAGGAAGCTTGTCTTCACCACAGTTCTCCCTGTAATATGTCATGCTGATGCCTAACTCCTGCCTTTAGATTCAGGATAAATTTTGTCTCAAAGGAGTTTTAATAAATGTCGATTGCTTGGCCTTCTGCTCTTCTGAGAAATGTCCACAGATGAATCGTTTACACTTCTGCTTCAGGAAATTTCAAGAAAACATTTTTAGATAAAGAACTGCGGTTAATGTCCACAGCTGAAAAATATTATAAACATTATAAACACAACATATGTCAGTGGAAAAAGTTCATCTTGAAGTGACAATATGAATGTAAAATGCAATCAAAGAGGTTGGTGTGTGTTCAGTGAACTGTAGCTTTAGTTTCAGTTGGATTACTGTTTAGTGACTAATGGAGGTTTTTGTTGGATGACTTTTCACTGTGTGTTTACAAACTGATTTCATGGAGAGTGTGATAGTAATAAACTCCTGAATCTTCAATCTGTGCTTCACTGATGGTCAGAGTGAAGTCAACTCCATTTCCTGCTCCACAAAGTCTGCAGGAGATTCCAGGACATCTGTGTGACTTGATGAAGATCAAAGCTTTAGGAGTTGTCCAGATTTCTGATGGTACCAAGACACACGGTGACCTGGACAGCAGCTGTACTGCTTAATTGCTTTATTCGTCTTACGGTTAATGGAGACAGTTTGACCGATCTTCACTAATTTGTCTGCTGACTGAGTCACAACAACATTTTGTCCAACAGACTTTCAGGAGTAAGAAAAAACACTGGACATGAGATGATGAACTTACACTCAGTGTACATTGAAAGAGTAATAAAAACAGAATCGCTGAACTCAAAAGTATTCACTGTTCAAATCGTAAGTAAATGCATAAGTCAATGTTGAGCTCAGCCCAATCTGGTTCACGGCATATTCGGTTGTGCAACTCTTTCTACATCAGTCTGTATCATGGAAAATTGTGTTGTGTGTTCGTCTGCACCTTATAAAATGCAAACACATTCACATCTATCTGACAGGTCTCAGGGTTTTTCTTCGAATTAGAAATAAGGTTTAAAAGGTTTGCCAATATGCAGATGACACAACTCTCTGCATTTAATCAAGGTAACATTTGAATAATGAACTATTCAGATTATGTTATTTACTAGAGAGCACTCAAAGATCATTATCGGAAACATGTCATCCATTGTTTTAAACTTTTACTGAATGAAGAACTGCAGTTGGTGTCCACAGGGAAAAACCTTTATACATATTTTACACATTATAAATACAACATATTGCAGCAGAAAATGTTCATGTTCAAATGACTGTATGAAGTTAAAGATACAATCAAAAATGTTGGTGTGTGTTCAGTGAACTGTAGCTGTAGTTTCCAGCTACAGCAGTTTCAGTTCAGCTTCTGTTTAGTGTAACTGAGGGAAGTTTTTGTACGATGAGTTTTCACTGTGTGAACACGAGTTGACTGTTAGGCCAGAATTCACCTTTACAGTAATAAACTGCAGCATCTTCAGCCTGAACTCCACTGATGCTCAGAGTGAAGTCAGTGTTTGATCCACTGCTTGAAAATCGATCAGGAATCCCTGAAACTTTACGATTACCATAGCTGGTGAGCAGTTTAGGAGGTTGTCCATCTTTCTGTTGGTACCAGAATTGGTCTGTTCCATCATCTACCCTCTGACTGGTCTTACAGCTGATGGTGACAGAGCCTCCCAGAGCAGAGCTCACTGCTCCAGGCTGAGTCACTGTGACCTGACCTCTGGACTCTGAGGATACAGAGACACAAACAGAAAGCAGCGTCATGCTTCTGTGGGCTTCATTTCAGAGGGACGCATGTTGATAGAGGAGAGGAGTTTGATTGTCTGGACTTTACCTGTGAAGCAACAGCAGAGGAAAGTCCAGATGAAGATCAGCATCATGTTTGTGATGAAGAGGATTTCTGTGTCTTCTGTCAGTCATCCAGTGTTCAAGTGTCACCACTATAAACTCTCCCAGAGCACTGGAGCATGGTGCTGCTGATGCAAAGTGGCTCTCTATGGAAATGCTCTGACTNATCCAGTGTTCAAGTGTCACCACTATAAACTCTCCCAGAGCACTGGAGCATGGTGCTGCTGATGCAAAGTGGCTCTCTATGGAAATGCTCTGACTGACTCCAGCAGGGACTTGGACCAATGTAATGATGCAGCTTATCAATGGATCAATCACTGGATCACAGTATTGATCAGTCATATGTGTCCTGACTGTGTTTCATGGATTTATTGTCTCTAAACTTATTTGTTCAACAGAAATCTTTGATTGATTTTTACATTGAAAACACTCAGTATTAATCTGACATCATAAAAACTCATTAATGAAACCAAATGAATATATTTTCAAATTCCTGTCACTCTGTTAAAGTTTGTTTTCATGTGAAGCAGCTGTTTGACCCACTGAGACTGTTTGTGTTGAGTTTGTTTGTTTGAGAGTCAGAGAGCCGTGTCTCTCTACAGTCAGAGGTTTTTGTACGGCGGCTCAATCAGTTTGTATCACTGTGGTACACGTTCGGTGGA